AGGGGCTTCCCACAAAAGGTCATTACAGACTTGCACTGATATTTCAACTCAGCTGCAACTTGTGACACAGCCTAGGACACATACTGAGGCCACTGACACTTTCTACCTTTGTATTATGTCCCAAGTATTCTTTACACTCAGCTCTGAGGTACGAGATGTTGTCTTGTAGCACTGAGTCATTGCAAAATATCTAATGTGATTATTAAGATAAAAAAGGTCGTTCTTCAGCATTACAAGGTTTGCTACCTTGATTGAGTGCTATCATGGGAGCACACATTTCTCTAACAAAGACACAGCAATGCTACTAGACACAGAAGGTCTGTACTTTATTTCCATTCCAATGTTTCAACCAAGACATTTTTTTCCTTCTACTTTTATGAAAGCCAAGTGTAGCATTCACTCTTGCACAGGGAAAAAAAAGTGACTGACATTTCTGCAGCCACAATATCAGAAAAGCCCTCTTAGCAATTCCGTGTTTCAGATGAGATAGTATGCTGTAAAACTTCAGAGGTGAGCACACCTGATTACAGTACAGTCATGCAAATGCAGTGATGATCACATACAAAATGTGCTAATTTATTTGGTTACCGATAAAAGCAAAATTTTGAAAATTAGTCTTTAATCTTGTCTTTAATCTCAAAGTGAGATTGCTTAAAAAGATACTCCAGGTTTGCCACCTCAGCAGCCTTGGAGTCAGCACCCAAACTGCTGAGACAGCAGTATTTTAAAGGACTGCTGCCGCCTAAAGCACGAGTGAAGGAGAAGCACAGGTCTGTCAAGTTTGGAAGCGGAGGGACAAGGAGCAGATTCTGGAGTGAAGAAACAGGAAGATGGCCCAGCAGGAGGGACTTGGCACATTCGCAGCAGAGCAACTAATGAGATGCTGTTCAACAGGCTTTTTTTTTTTTTTTTTTTTTTTTTTATGTCATTAGGAAGTTCCTACAGCTTTTAGTAGAGCACTTTACAAAGCTGTGGACAGGAAGAACAGCTCAAAGACAAACACGCTTGCACAGAGCAGCATTATCACAGCAATGAGCAACCCAAGGTGAAACTCAGCACTCCTCCTCTTGCAGCAGACACGCTGGTGCTCGTGATGCCCTGCTGCAGGACAGGCTGCAGCTGTGCTGAGCCAAGCCCTGCCAGCATGTAAGGGAACTGATTCTGCCCACCCATATGCCACCCCAGGCATCAAGAGCACTGCACAGAACCACCACACCTGAACAAAGAGCTCCAATCTGTATACAGCGTTACATACTCAGGGCTAAGCCAGCACTGCACTCTGCTTCTTTTGCCTATTACTGCTATGCGCTGGTTTACAGATCAGTAGAACCTATTAAATCAGGCCTGAATACACTTAATTCCTTACTTGTTCACTGACATCACGTAATACAATGATCTTTCACTTAAACACATGGACTTCTCTTTTCCTGCTCAATCCCTACTCAACTGGAAGCAAAGCCTACCAGCTACAGTGAGCACATGCACCTTCCTGCTCTGCCAGAACATCCTGACTCTGAAAACTGCTTCCTCTGCTGATTCCAGGAAAGTGAAAAACTTCCATCTCAAATAGCATTGCATTAAATATTTTTAAGGTATGTTTTAAATATATTCAACTCCTACATCCAAACCAAGATTTGTTGGATATTGTTGATGGGATTTGTGAAGTAGAACTGAACATACCCCCCGTGAATGGTATCTGATCGGATGCAGTGGCATAGTAAGCTGGCAGAAGGCCAGAGAGGTTCACCAGTTACACTTGATACAAATCAGTCAATCTTATTTCCTACAATTATTATTTGTCTTATCTTTTCTAGTAAGAAGGGCATAAAAAAAAATACTAAACTGTTTTTTCCATTACTTCATAGTGTATCCAGATTTCTAGAGTCAAAGTTAACCCTTCTATTCCTTCAGCTCTTGCATTCAATATTCTACCTTATCATAGAACCATAGAATGGCCTGGGTTGAAAAGGACCACAATGATCACTCAGTTTCAATCCCCCTGCTATGTGCAGGATCACCAACCACCAGACCAGGCTGCCCAGAGCCACATCCAGCCTGGCCTTCAACGCCTCCAGGGATGGGGCACCTCCTCTTCCTCTGCCTGACATCTTCTTCAGTAATCTGTGATTTTCTGCGTTTGAAAGAACGATGCAGACTCAAATCTTTCCAAACATTCACATGGGTCCAAAATAAGTTGGAAAAAATGTACAGAGCCGCTTTTGTTCTTCTAAATTCTACAGAATCTTTGACAAATGGCAGCAGCACAAGAATACCCACCTGCAGACCTAAGAGCAAGCAGTTCAAACCATGAGAATGATAAAAGCTAGAAACCTTATTTTTAATGGAAGCACAAATTGGAGCAGCGTAGCCATCAGTCATCTTGTGACTGTTTGTTTAGCTTTTTCTTGTAATTCAAGCTGATCATACAGATTCCTTTCTCTCTGCACTACAGAACATCAAGCTGTGAAATGCCATTCATATGGAAAATTTTTTTGTATTAGAACCTCCACATACCTGTAATGTGACTAGGAGAGGTTAGTCTAGTTAGTGTGTTGCAACAAACAAAGGCAAAGCACACACCTTTCTGAACTCAGAATTCGTCAGCTAAGTGGAAATGCTGGTTTGCAAGCCATTCTATATGCAAAAGAAATTTATAGATCACGTAAGCTGTTCTCTACAAAACAAAAACTCTGAAAAATAATAATTAACTTTCACTACAGAAAGGTAAACGCGGGTTGGGAAGCTCAATGTAGTTTTTGCAAGACCTTAATATTTCACTTCTGTAATACATGCATATTTCTTAAAAGAAAGGCAAAGAAACAAGGATTCAGAAGCAACACTTTTTTTTAAAAAAAGTTTCTTTTTAAACTTCACTTAGAAAAATACAAAGCTGCTTACCTACTTAATTCCTATGTTCGCTACTTCCAGAAAAACCTAAGTGTGACTAATATCACATTTCTGTTAACAGTTTCAGTATCAGTAATTATCTATCTAAAGAGTAATGCACCCTTTCAATGGCACTTGGGCTGGTTGCCAAAGCATCTGCTGAAAAATCCTCATCTGGGCTTGCTCCCCAGGACAGCTCCAGGTGCCTGCCCAGGCGAGAACATGCCAACCCCGGGCCAACTCATTTGGCCACTGCATCAGGCAGCCTGGGTTCCACCAATGGGCCAGCTGCCCAGGCAAGCTCTGGTTCTTCTTCCTGCTGCTCACCACCCCTGGGCCACCGGAAGAGTGGCTGAAGATACAGCACCAGGAAGGATCACAGCCTTTTGAAAAGCAGGGCTGCATCAAGGGAGGGTTGTAAGAAGAGCAATATGGAGGTGGCGTGGGAGTAGGAAAGGTGTGTTTCCTTGGGCTTGTATGGATAAATAGGATGCCTTAAAAGACACCTCATACTCAAGCCAACCACGTAATCAAAACTTTACAAAGCAGGGTCATTACCTATAATAAGGCAGACAAGTAGTTCATTAGCCATGTTTTCAGCATGATGAAAACTGACCTTAACCCTTTCTCTATTCACAAAGACACCTCAGCACAGAGCAGCCTTAATACTAGACTATGTATCACCAGCTTACTCCTGGAAGATACAGGGAAACAGAAAGCTAAGTAACTTATAGCTTAAACAGTACCTGAAATTCTTGTGTTTTTATTGAAGTCGTTCAGTTAAAAAGACATCAAAAGTGTAATCGCTTCAGACTGCAACAGACATTTCTCTTTAGTGACCTGAACCCACTCTACTATTCCAGCTCAAAATGTGTACGTGCTTAAAACACAGCCAGGCCAACTGCTGGGCAGGACCGAATCCCTCCAAGTAGAAATAAGCTTCACAGTTCCCTGTGCCTGCTCTAACCTTACCCAAGTGGTGTGTCTTCTGATGCCTTTACCAAAGGGACGTGATTTAGCAGAGAGTTGTTAGAGTTAGGGTAGTATGGTCAGGTCGTGGTTGGACTCGATGATCTTTAAGGTCTCTTCCGGCCTGAGCGATTCTACGACTCCATGAATCAAAGGTTTCCAGCTCTACAAACAAGATCCCACTTTCACAACATTTTGCAGATGAGCCACGCACAGCACTTCCATGGCAGAGGCTTGCAGAACTCTAGCAGTGCTGCTGCTTTGGAAGGCCTGCACCACTTCTTACCGCTGGGCCCTGGAGGGACCCCACTAAGCCAAGCCGACAGGGACCATAAGTTTCTTAGGCAACACAGATTTTTTTAAAATATACATATATATAGTTCGTGATTCTGATAACACAGCCTCCTGACCAACCGACGACGGCTGCGACCGGCCACCAGCCCAGATCTGATTAAAAAAAGCGCTAAACTTCAGCAAGGCTCCCAAGCCTCCACGGCCCCTCACTTCCTCCTCCACGAGCCGCCTTCCCCGCCAAACCTCCGTGACTCCCGGCTCAGCAATCCGAGCTCTCGGGAGCCCAGAAGGCGGCCGTGCCGGCGCGGAGGCTCGCTGGGCGCCCGCTGCGGCGGTGCCGATGTTACGCGGCCCTCCGCAGGGCAGCACCGGGGCCGCCGCCCCGCCGCGCGGCCTGCCCGCCTCCCGCCCGCCACTCACCAGGATGCGCTTGAAGAGAGCGTTCTCCTTGGGCGGCAGGCTGACCGACGGCATGGTCCCGCCGCTCCGCTCCGCTCCCGCCGAGAGGCTCCGGGAGGGGTGGGGGGGCGGGCGGGCCGCGTCCCGTTCCCGCTGCTCGCTCGCCGCCGCCGGGAGCCTTCCCCCCCCCGCCGGAGCCTGGCCGCCGCCTCCCCACCCCCGCCGGCCCGCCCCGCGGCTGCCGCGCTCTCCGTCCGCCGGCCGCGGGCCCGGCCCCGTGCGCCCGCCGGGCTGGGCTGCCCCGCGCCGAGCCCCGGGCGGCGCTCACGTGGTCACGGAGCAGGCCGGAGAAGCGCCGCCAAAATGGCCCCCGCGCGCGGCTTCCCCAGCCGGGTCACTGCGCACAGCGCGCATGCGCCGCGACCCCGCACCGGCCCCGCACCGCCCCGCCCGGTGAGTCACGCGCCGCCGCAGCGAGGGGCTTCAGTTTTGAGCGCGGCCTTAAAGGACGCGGCGTCTCCTGTAACCGCAGCTGCCCGCGCGCGGTGCAGTCGTACTGCTCGTGCGCGGCGTCCCGCAGAACCGCTTCTTCCGCGCCCAGCCGGACGCGCGGGCTCCGCCCGGCCGGCAGGGGGCGCCCTTTGGCGCAGCCTGCGCGACCGCGACCGCCCCGCGCCCGGCGGACAAGATGGCGGCGCCGCTGAGGGCGGCGAAGTGGCTGCGGCTGGCGGGTGGCGGGCCCGGCCTCGGTGAGCGGTGGCAGCGCGCCGACGGGGTGTCTGTTGCGGCCGCTTAACTGGCCTTCCGTCTCTCGCGACCGTTACGTGTTAGCGTGCACCGGCGGGGCTGCGGCGTGAGCCGTGCCCTGCAGCCTGCGGTCACGTGTTCCTTCCCTCGCTTGGTTTTGAACCGCGGTGGTCGGGGTGCCGCGCTGCCCCTGGCCGAGACGCCGCCGGGGGACGGTCTGCCCGAGGTGTCCGTGTTGGGTCATCATCAATTAACGTGGTTAAAACCTTCTGCCTTTGCAGCTCTGACTCGTTCTGCGTTTTTCGCAAGAAAGCGTGTGTATGATCAACCGAGCTGGGTTGGAGTCGGCTTGGCTTTCACCACCAGCGCTGCCCTGTGGGCTTTTGTAAGTGTTCTTGGTTGATTCTGCTGAACTTAACCGTTTCCAGATCGTAGTGATCTGGAGGTAGTAGCTACTATTAGTTGTGGCAGAGGATATGTGTAGTAGGTGTCAAGGCTGAGGTATGATGTATGGATTATTTATTCCTTACCAGGTCTATGTTGCAATTCACTGTACAAAAGCTTTTGGGCTTGATGTTGGAATGAGCAGGATGCAGTTTTTCTCATGAGAAAATATAAAAAATGAGCAGCACGTGTGAGGATCACAATTCCCAGGGCAGGATGTATCCTTCCTTCCCTTGGTCCAACTATTCCTTCTTGGGGTAGGGCAGGTTGAGAGCAAGAAAAAAAGAAATTGGCCAGCAAAAACTCATAGAATGTTATGAATCTGAATGGACCTGGTAGCCATCTGGTCCCACCCTTCTGCTGTGGGTGGGGCTCCCTCCCACCAGCTGAGGCTGCCCTGGGACCCATCCAACCTGGCCTTGAGTGCCTTCAGGGATGGAGCATCTACTGCTTCTCTGGGCAACCTGCACCTGTGTCTCGCTATCTGAAAAATTTCTTCCTAGCATCTAACTTAAACCTCTCCCTGTTGGAGGGAGGGAGGGTAAGAGGAGGCTGACAGGAGAACTTATTGCTCTCTTCCAGTATGAAAGGTGCTTACAGCTAGAGCGGGGTTGGTCTCTTCTCATTGGTGGCAGGTGACACAACGAGGGGAAATGGCCTCAAGTTGTGCCAGGGTAAGTTTAGTTTGGATATCAGGGAAAAATTCTTTACAGAAAGGGTTGTTAAGCACTGGAATAGGCTCCTCAGGGATTGGGTTGAGTCACCATCCCTGGATGTGTTTAAAAACCATTTGGATGTGGTGCTCAGGGACATGATTTAGCGGAGGGTTGTTAGAGTAGTACGGTGAGGTTGTGGTTGCACTCTGAGCTTTAAGGTCTTTTCCAACCTGAGCAATTCTATGATTCTATGTCTTGCTGGCCAATTGATAATATACACCTAATTTACCCCTTATCTTCCTTATATTCCCAATAATTACATGTTGGCTTACGTTCTGATAATTAGAATTTCATTTTTCAGGAAAACGTGGTAATTTTTTTTTTGTTCTGGTTGTGTGTTGTATAGTCATTTAACATATACTGCTTTTATAGCTTTTCAAGCAGCATAATGAAGATGTAATGGAATATGAAAGAAGAAAACAAGAGAGGCAACATAAGTGTACAGGTTGTTCATAGTAAGTATGCACGTATAGATACTTCTGACACAGACAAATAATTCTGCTGATCTTTGACTTAGATTAATTATCAACATCTTGATTGCTGGCTTTTGTTTTTCATAGTATTTTCTTTAATGTTTTGTCTTGGCTTTTTGCTACTTAGCTACTCCAATTCCAGTTTCACAATGATACACGTTGACTGCTTGCTTTTGTCTTAGAAGTGCAGAAGTTAAGAAAATAACCAGTCCTGTACTATGTAATAAATTTAGATACCAAAGGGAATGCCTTACGAGTGCTTTAGTGGCAAAGAGTTAAAGACTGGGTGTGGGACATTTCCCTTACTTTTGATTGTGTTACAAAATAAGAATGATACCAAGTCAGTACCTATGGATTTGTGTTCTTAAGGAAATGATAGGGGGTCATTGCCATGATTGATATTAAGAAGACAACAATATAACTGTGTTTCTACCAGCTGAAGGTTTTATGGAGGATTGTGGCCTCAGAGCAATTCACATATTATTTGAAAGAGATACTTAAAACTAATACAGAAAACCTTGTAGCGTTGTGGTTATTTTTCTTCCAGGATTTCTTGTGCAGCTAAAAACCTCGAATGCTGTGAGGCTTTTCTAACTGACTACATTGTATGTATTTTCCTTGTGTTTGTTGTTTCCTTTGTATATACATTTGTTGCTAAGGGTTTTTTACCCCCTCTTTCCTAGGCTGACCAAACGTTCAATAAGAAATATCATCAGTTGCGTCCTGTGAATTAAGGATACAGCAGACCTGTCGAGAAGTATTTAAACCCTTATCTGTTCATTCATTTCACATGCAAAATTATAAAATAAAGCGTGGAAGAAGCTTCTGAAGACTTCTCTTGCCATTTGTATTTTATTCTACTAGCTTTTATAAATTTTCCGATTGCATTTACGTATTAAGCTGGTGAGTGGTCTGGAGCACAGGCCTTATGAGGAGCGGCTGAGGGAGCTGGGATTGTTCAGTCTGGAGAAGAGGAGCCACAGGGGAGACCTTATTGCTCTCTGTAAGTACCTGAAGGGAGGTTGTAGCGAGCTGGGGGTCGGCCTCTTCGCTCGTGTAACTGGTGATAGGACTAGAGGGAATGGCTTCAAGCTGCGCCAGGGAAGATTCAGGCTGGATATTAGGAAATACTACTTCTCTGAAAGGGTGGTCAGGCACTGGAATGGGCTGCCCAGGGAGGTGGTGGAGTCACCGACTCTGGAGCTGTTCAAGGAACGTTTGGATGTTGTGTTGAGGGATATGGTTTAGCGAGAACCATTGGTGATAGGCGGATGGTTGGACTGGATGATCTTATAGGTCTTTTCCAACCTTAGTGATTCTGTGATTTCATAGCTCTGCAAATAACGTGGATCAAGTGTGTGGTTTTGTGGAATGTGCATTACAAAGTCGAGCATCAGTCAAGAGACAGCCCAGCAGACAGCTAGGAGGGAGCTGCTTGTTGAAGGCACGATAGTCAGCATCTCACGGATAGTGCCGTGACTTTGCAGTGTTCCTGAAAGGCAGCGCCAGCTGAGTGCTTGCAGGGCTGGGCTCCGGGTGCCACAGGAGAGGCAGGAGCTGGCTCAGCCGGAGGGCGTGCTGGCTGTCGTTGCTCCGTGTTCTAGCCCTGTCTCGCTGTTCCCCTGGTGAGACGAGCAGCTGCTGTTCCTGCTGCCTTCTGAGTGCCTAGCCGTGCACTTGCTATAAGTCAAGGTCAGGCAAGGACGAAGGGAATAAAAATGGAGTAGCGACAATGACGCTGCCCGCCTGTGTGGGAGGGGAGAACCAGGCGCACGGTGTGACCCTGAGGTGCTCTGAGGGGGTTGGGAAGGTCTCGCGGCTGCGATTTGCTTCCAGCCTCAAAGCTGAACCTCTGCTTTCCTTTGCTTTCAATTGGGGCGGCTTCTCCGGCTTGTTTTTCAGCAACGCTTGGCGACGAGCGCTTGCGAAGAAGTCTCTCCCCACCCGTCGGCCACGCGCTCCCCGCACTGCCGCCGGCTGCGGCGGAGCTGCGCGAGCTCCGGGCTCGGCCAGGTGCGGCGGCACGCGGCGGGGGCGGGGCTAACGGGGGTCCCGCCCTCAGTGCGGCAGGGGCGGGCCGATCGCAGCCCGTTGCGGTGCCCGCTGCAGCGCCCGCAGCCCCGCTCTCGCCGCCGCCGCCGCCGCCATGTACCTGTGCAGGGCCGCCTCGCAGGCGCTGGCCGCTCGTCTGAGCCGGGCGCCCTCGGCCGCCAGCCGGCTCACGCAGCGCGGTACGTGCCGGGTGCGGGGAGGGGGCGGCGGGGGACGCGTGAAGGTCGCGGGCGGCGGGCCGGTAGCGGGGCTGCGGGAGGCGGGTGCCTTTCGGATGCCTTTCGGAACGGCGGTCCCGCCGTCGGGAAGGGATGCTGCGGCCGCACCGCCGGCCCCGGAGCCCCGCCGGCCCCGTCCCGAGGTAAGCGCTGCGGTGCCGGTAGCGGGGCGGACTCGGCCCCACGAGGCAGGTGATACCGAGCGCAGCCTGGCACGTGACGGCAGGGATTGGGGCTATTTTTGCTTGAGACGCTCGGCGACGTTTTGATGAGCAGCGCTCTTTGGTGAGACGTGCATCAGCGGGGATGGGGTCACGAAACGCAGCTGGGTGCCCGCACGGCACGTGGCAGGCGTGGGTCCTCCTTGTCGCTCCGCAGACGAACCCGAAGGCCATAGCGAGCATCACAGCGCGGTCGTGGTGGGCGGAAAGAAATGGCTTGCGCTGTCATCGCCGTGCTCTGTGTGCTCCCGATGGCATTGTGTAACCCTGCCCTGCTCAGCCACAGCCTCATGTCCCGGCCAGCATCTGAAGGTCAGCTGCCTAGCTGGGAATGAAGCAGTGTGAGTTAAAAGCAAAAGGCTTTTTCCTGGAGTTCTCTGCCGCTAAACCAAAGGGAATTTGTTATCTCCGCTGCCTGTCAGTGCAGCAAGAATGAATAAAGGCAGGTCGATCCTTTTACTTTCCTTAAGCAGGATGCATCTGTATGACTGCACCCAGTGATTGGAAGCTGACAGGCAGCGATCATTCTCAGTAAACTGTACGCTCACCAAAAGATTTCAGATGTGCACCTTGTTCAGTTAAGCACCACTCCCTGTTTTATTCCATTGTCCTAGAAGCCGTATCCCTCCATTTTGCTATAGCTTTTTCAGTCATCTCTTCCGGTAATAAAGTTCAGGCTCCATAGTTGTATCGTATACTAGCATCAATTTTACATTGCTATAAAGAACATTTTTTTGTAGCACCTCTTCGCCAGATGTCATCTGGGAGCGTTCCTGGCTCTTCTGGAGAGAACATGATTTACTATCTCATCACTGGGGTTGCTGCATTCGGTGCTTTTTTCTATGTAAGTAGGGGGGCTCTCTGTGCTTTCTGAGCTGATGTGGTTCAAAGTGTGTTCAGGGTTTTAAAAACATGGTCAAAAATGGGATCTGTTAATAGAATGTGAATGTTGCGGCATGTAATTAAATACAGCAGCATAGAAAAATCAGTTTAAGATAACTAATGAAACGATGCATGTTTCTTGCTTATTTCATTGTTGTTTTGATGTGTGTGTGGCTATTGAGATTCTTGGTGGAAGATTTGAAGTTATGTGAAATGGATTCCTCCAAAGATGGAGTAAGACATCTGTCTCTAACACCTTGCCTCTTCTTGCCAACTGCAAACGTTAAGAGCATTGTGCAGTGGGCAGGACGGATGTGAAGGAAGCTGTTTGAAGCTGGGAGGGGAAGATTAGGCTTAATTGGGGCACAAAAGAAGATAAGAATATTAATTACTTAGAAAAAGCATGCTTGAGCTTTGTAAGCACCAAGTGCTTTCAAGCTTTTCTAGTAGTCTTTCACTAGCCTTCCTCTAAGTTTATCAGACTGTGCTGCAGGTCCCTAAAGCCTTCATTTCATAGCTCCCTTCCCTCACTGAGAATTGAGATCCTGACCAGCACATCCCCAAAAGGTACAAGTTTCTCTCTTCCCCAAAAATAGCATGGTGAGAGGCATGTACTTGTCCAAAATACCATCACTCTTGTGTTACTGCCTCTCTGAAAGAACTGTAAATCCTCTAGCTGTCAGCTTTTTGATTACCGTAGTTGTTTTATTTTTAAATAAAAATAGAAACCTAAGCATAATTGCCTTTTGAAATATTCTGTTTGATTCCTGAAGCACTATATTTTCTTTCTAATTCCCATATGTTTCATTAATGTGTTAATGGAGGAAAATGGATTTTTGGATATGCTAATATTGCTTGTAATCATTTGATATGCCTTTTACGATGAGCAGTAGCACTTGTTTGAAGCCTTTCCCTCTTCTGTTTATTTTGTTTGGTAAGCTTTGTTAACTGTATTATGTCACGTGTATATATTAGTTAGATACCTATTTAGATATGCTATTTTTCAGACCTACAAAGTAGTCGGTTCATCCCGTAGCAACTACGTTGAACATGTGAATGTTCTCCACGAGAGAGGTCAGAAACACAAAGCTGACTCATACAAGGGTAAGTGGAGCTCTTCTCTCTTGTTCTCTGGGTACACGAGGATCCAGAGCAGGTTTCTGGGTTATCTCATCAGGCCTTCACCATCCCAGTCCTTGTCTGCTTTCTGTGACTTGGAGCAAAGACTGTCCTGCTCAAATGTTGGAGGTGGGCTTCATGTTTAGGTAGCAGTCTTGGCCTGTGACCAAGCTGCAGTATCTTTGGATGAAAGGAGTTAATGTGTGAACCACTAATTCTATCTTGGGTATTTTCATTTGGTATACTGAAATCTTAATGAACTTTGATTGAATGCTCTCAAAATCAGATCTGTTTTTTTGTTTTGGGGCAGGGCTGGGAAGAGATGATAGCAGGTTGTTTCCAGGCCACATGTGTAAGGAAACACCGTGGAATGTGTTGAGTTAGGAACAAAAGCAACTAAATAAATAGATTAAGGTAGTAAATAGAACCCATTTCTTGTCCCACTACTTGGATTGAATCCTTTTTATTTTAGGTCTAAATGAAAAGCAGACAGCACCTAAATGTATGGTAAATCCTTACGTAGTCCTTCATGCTTAAATAATTAGACCAAGTTAGTTCAAATGCTTGTAATGGAATGCTCTCTCTGTCCACATCAATTAGTGTTACAACGCAGTTAATCTGAAAGATGGAACTTGGCAAGCATGGCCTTGCTATCAAAAGCAATTATAAAAATGGCATGTAAAGGACCTCGTCGTGATTATTGATTTGCCACTTAAAAAAAACCAAACCGCCTAAAAACAATCAGCACAACTTTTTGAAACATGAAGCCATTGCTCTTGAAGCTGTCACTTAACTTTTTCAGAGGCTGGCATCTGAAGAATTGATTTAATATATTTGTGTGCTCAGAAAGAATAGGTTGGAATAAGTTGAGTTGAAATTTCTTTTCCAGAACAAAAACATCCTTTAAATTATCTGCCTCTAAAATGATTTATTTTAGATTTCCTGAAGTTCCACAGCATCTCATAAACTTCAGAACTAACAGATTTTAATATTTAAAATGGCAAAGTAATTTATTTTAAGCAGCTGGGAATTATGCAAATCTTGAACTTCTAGTCAGCGGAGATGTTGGTTACAATTTTAGTGCAATTCCTTCTTGTCCCCAAAGCAAAAAATTGGGCTGGGACCGAAGTACATTTTTTCTCCCAGTGACCTTGCCTTCTGCTGTTCAGGGATGAAATGAGAGTTATGCCAATGCAATCAGAAGAACACAGTAGCATTAATTACACCTCCCAGGCCACTCAAAATGTCAGCACATTCCCTCTCCTCTCTTAGGGTTCTGTTTGCAAGGTACTGAGTTTTAACCCTAGTTTACCAAAATGTTGTGCAGCATAACAGCAATCAGTGGTACTGGAAGCCCCTGGAAGGCTATGGCTGTGTGGCTTGAGCCTGGGATAAGAGTATTTGGTGCTCTGTAACTTAATTGCCACTTTGGGCACTCTGCAGACATCCCATGATCTGATACGTTTTGTTGTTTAGTAATTTACTTAAATATAGCAATTCATGGCAGATGATTACTATGAATAATGAGAAGCAGTAAGAGGTCTAAAACACTTCTGGGGCCATCCAGTGAAGACCTCTGACACTTGTTTTCTCTGTTAATTTGAATGTTTAGACTCATGACTAGATGCTCAAGCTCAAGTTTTTAATTGAACTCGTGACTAATTCCAATTCATAATACAAAACCACTGTTGAATCAGCTCTTTTTTCAAACCCTTCTTCGTTCCTAACTGTATCCTCCCCAAAGAGGTTTCTATTCTTACTTTTCCAATGGAATCCTCTCTGTGCCTTCTCAAAAGAATCTTCCTCCCCCTTTCTCCTGTGCCCTGTGTAGTCATATTTTGGTGTGCATCTTGTTATGGCGCGTTGCCCCAGTGTTGCTTTTCCCAAAACTTCCACTGCAGTTTCTTTCCCCCTGTATTCTTTAGATGTAGATTTAGTCCTTACACTGTTTCACAGTAAGCATTGCTGGTTAAGGACTATGCTCTCAAAGTCATCCAATATTGTTTAGGATCATTTAAGTTCAAGCTTAAGTTACACTGTAAAACTGTTGGTAACAATGTGAAATGGAGGATGGTAAAGCAGCATGCCAATCAGCATACTGTGCTGTGTTTGTTACCTGTTATATAGTAAGAAAAGAACACTGTGCTGGAAGAACTTAGAACCAGGGTGCAGCTGATCAGAGGGAGTCTCTCCTGATCCAAATGACATTTGTGGTTCTTCATTCTGAGGAAAGTTCTCTCCTCGTGCCCCAAACCAAACTGTCTGTTACTAAGACCTTAAGGTTGCAAACAGAGTTGACAAAGCGAATGAAACAATCAAATGTCCTTGTAGGCTTTTCAATTAGTGAGTTGAAATGTCACTTAATGGTATTTTAATTAATTATTATGTGATATAATAATAATAAAAAAGCAAATATTCTGCAGCTCTTTTGATCTGAAAGCTACTCTGACGTAGGGAAGGATTTTAAAATGCCTCTGACAGAAGCTGGCCATGAAGTAGCAGTAGGAAATTCGGAACATGATTCATGATTTGAACTGTAAAATGATGCTTGCCTTGTGGAACATTCTACTTGCTTATTTAGCAAATATTGAGTTTTGTCTTCCATTCACTTGTGTCTCCTTTAACTTACTCCGTATTTCCTACTTTTTTTAGCAATGATTTTTCTTTTTAACTTAATGCAAGCTGATTCAATCTGTCTAATCTCTACTCTGCTTTTACACTTTCCAGACTAAAATACAAGGGAAATCTCTTTCCAAACCTGAGGAAGTTAAACACAAAGGACAGTCCTTCACCATTGCGTACCTTGCAGCCTACCCTGGGATGACTTTATGCCTTCTATTGTAGAACTCCATCCTTGTGAGACTCTAAAAGAAATGCCTATGTTTGCAAGGCCAAACCATATTGAGCTCTTATTAATCTGCTTTGCAGAAGGCAGTGCTGAGATCGAGAAGCTGGCTGTTCTGAATGAATGCACCCTATATTTGACTGTCCAATAAATTGTACTGAATGCTGAGCTTGGCTGTTAGTCTGTTCTTTGTGTAATTGATTTAGGTTTCCTGAACTATAGCGTTCTCTTAAAGGGACATGGTCAGGTTGTGCAGTACAAAGCTTTGATTTTACTTAACAATGAGTAGACTTGTGTTAAAACCTGAATGCAAACAGGTAAGCTTGTGTTGGCGTAAGAAAATCAAGAAATAAAAATGATTTGTTCAACTTATGATCAAATATTCTTCAAATATTCAGAAAACATCTGACTATGTCTCTTTAAGTCCTTCCCTTTTTTTTTCTCACTTAATTCATGCTGTATTGCAAATTTTATTTCCAGTTCTGTTTTTTCACCTGGTGAATTGGGTCTGGTAGTAAACTTGCAATGAACACGTGCTCTATAACTTTCTTGATCTTAGTGCATACTTGCATGGTGTTTGTGTACTTCTGCTGCTTTGTGCTGTTAGTTTGTGATGACTTGTCTCAGCTGAGTTGTAAATTCACACGATTGGGAAGAATTGGGTTTTTCATTTCTATAGGGTCTGACCCACAGCAGTAAGGCAGTTCTTTGAGACAGCTGGTACTTCATAAAATGAAAATCAGTCGTAGCTGGACAGTGTTGGGCACTGTCTGCTTAACATTCTCAAGTTATTTTCTTATTTATATACCTAATTTCAGTAGGAATCCCTTGTTTCTTCCTGTCCCACAGATCTTTTCCTTCTTACTTGAGTGCTATGGCTTTTGCAGTCCGAAGTGTGGTCACAGCACAGTCAATGTAGCTTTAAAGGATGCAAGATGAACAGGGATAGCAGAATATATCTGGTGGCATGGAGATGAGAGATGGCACAAAACTCATCTGAAAGCTAATTTTGAGTTGGGCTCTGAACTGTTGTGGATACTGCCAGCCAAGGTTACCACCTTGAAAATAGCCCTCCCCAGACAGAAGCTGTGCCTTGAATTGCAGTGCTTCTAGCACGTGAGCCCTACTGATAATACATGACGGAAGAGCTTGTAAGTATGGTAGCAAGGGTCTTATTTGTGGTGTGTAATGCCACTTCTGGGTGCAAACTGGACAAGAATCCACCTCCCTGCAAAGTCAGAGTGCATTGTCACTGACCCTTCCAATAGAATGGGATTGGAGCAACACTTAGTATGATCTGCTTCCTCTCACTTTTATTTTTGTCCTTCCCTGCATCCGCACCTTTTGCAGTCACTTGTTTTAAGCCACACTGTCCGCTAATATACTGAAGCAGCTGTGACACTTGGTAGTTAAGAATATGGTTTCTTTATCTTGTAAACATCTTTTATGGTGTCACACTTGGACAATAGGGGAGATTAAGTTTTGACATAATAACTTCCTTTGTAAATTCTGATTCCGAATGTTAGTTACCTTCCTATTTTAAAATTTGAAAGTGACGTTGAAGGTATTCGGTGGATTTGTATTGCATGCATGCACTTTACACTTTCTTTATTTGTATTAAACAAACCCTTAAAAGGTGATGAAGAGGAGACAGCTGAAGTCACTGGAGCAGACGTGGCCACAGAAGAAGCCGATGCAGCAACCGCTGCTGGACCTGCAGCACAGGAGGAGAGTTCTGGGGTTACCCCAGAAACTGGAGGAGAGAGTGACTTGCCGGCTGCAGACACGTCCACTGCTGTGGAGGGAGCACAGCAGGAAGCTGCTGCTAATTCAGAAGCTCCTGCAGTGCAAGGTTAATCTATGAATGCAGTTTTTGTGTGTGTGTGTTGAGTTTTGAAACTCTGATTCTTAGGACAGAACACAAAGAACAAACACCAGCATTCCTAATGGAGGTTGTCCTGTAGTGAAAACTAATTCAGGTGTTACCTTGGCATATCATGAGCATAAGGTGATCACAGCTTTCAAGACGGTTCATTTAACCAGTGTCTCTAAAAGCCTGTGGCACCAGAGTTGATCTGAAGCTAGCTGAATGAAAAGTTTGTTTTATCACCCCATTCTGCTCCTTCAAGTCCTTAAGGGGTAAGAGTGTAATACAGTTGATTAAACCATTTTTCCTGTGATCAGATTCCTAAGGTTTCCTAAGGCTTTTCCTAAGATGTTCACATTAAAGAGTGTAGTTCTTCTGACAGTGAACTTCAACAGAATTAGGTAATAACCCACATATTGTTGTGATCTCAGTCTTAGCAATATATCAGATTAAAAGTTTCAAAATGCAAAAAACATCACGTTAGAATTAAAAAGAATTTAGTTGGAGGCTACATAACTGGTACTCTTAACTCTGTTCAGAATACTTTGATTTGTCATTCCTTTTTAATTTTAGAATAATAAAAAAGCAAACGTGTCCATAAGTTGCATAAAATGCAGAATTTTAATTTAACTTGATTTTTTAATTTTGTTATGCAATCAAACTTATTTACTGCTAACCTTGCTAAGTGTAGAGCAATAACTTTTCCCTCTTGATTGGTTCAATTAAAATTGAATGGGGCACATCTAAAGCAATTGGAATTATTTGACAGATAGGAAAGCAGCAAACATTGCCATTTGGTATCCGCAGTTCTTTAAAAGCAAACAAAAAAGAAACTATTGGCAAGTCTATGATGAAAGAGAAAAATCACTGTAATCTTTGCTTCCTAGGAAAGGAAGACTTCATTGGGGCTGTAGTAAGTGGGAAAACCAGGGATAGTTTTCAGTTTGATTGAACATGGAACCTTTACTAGATGTCCTTGTTTGACTTCTTTTGAGAAAATAGGCATGCATCTACTTGGAAGGAGAGATTCAAAATGCAAAGCAAACTGAAGTTAAAAGGATTTCAGCTGCTAGTGTGTGTGGGGTTACTGCAGCACCTTGAAAGGTATTGTCTGATTCCAGAAATATTTTTGCCTTTTTCCTCGGTGGCTCCCTTGAGGATTCATCTGAGTTGCCTCTTTAACAAACGAACTTGGTTATGATGCAGCTTTTCAAATTGTTGACTGCTATGAAAACTTTGGATATGAATCGGATTTTAATTCTTGTGCGAATAGCTCCTGTGCAAGTCTGCAAAACAAGCCATTAAAAGAACAGATTTTAAAACAATGCTTGGTCCAGCCTGTAAGTATATTTGCTGTGACTATTACTGTTTACATAAAATGTTTATGAGGTAGTGGTTAAATTACTCACAGCTTAAACAAGCTATTTCTATAGAATGTTTGGACAAATTAATTTAGGAAGGATGTATTCTGGTGTATGTTAGAGTTGATGAATCAAAGCTGCTGAGAGAGGTGCTATAAGATGGTCTTTGTCTGCATTGTCCTACAAAGCAATTGCAAATTGTCACTCTTAAAGAGGGGGCACTCACTTGTACCCAGAAGTGCTGAATGTTCCTTTCCCAGTGCTGATCCTGGGATAGTTCCTGATTGCTGGGGAGGGTGGGATTTCTGTATAGTAAATATTCCTATCATTCTCTTGAATACAAAGCAGTAAGGGCTCTAGATGCTTGACTGAGGAACGTTGTAAGTAAATTGAATGTGAGTATTTAAATCCAGGCAGGGTAACTCTGTAGTTAGTTACTATTTTTGTAAAAGCAAACCTGTGTGGTGTAACCATTAGTTACTGCTAGGGATGAGCAGATGTGTTATTCAGCAATTATGATTTCCTCGGTCCATTTTCTTTGGCAATGTAGTGGAAGCCCAATGCTAGAATGGTGCTTCTGTTGCAAAGGCATTTATAAGGGATTCTGAGGGCTGTATCCTCTGTCCATTCTCGCTGCAGTGATTAATCTTTGGTAAAGCTGGCAGAAATGAACACGTGGGACATAAAATTGCAGAGACTGGCGTCAAATTGTTTTTTCAGCCATCTTCCTTCCAGCATCTAGTTGGAGCATTTCATATTAAGAAGAACATGTCACATCTCGGGGCGGCTGTGCTTCACCTCAGTGATCACCTGAAGCAAGGGAGTGTCTGATCCCTGTGGCGTTCCCACTATTCACTAATCAAGGCTGTTGTGATTAATTGTGCCTGAGCTAGGAGTGAAGGTTCATGTGAGGTTCCTCCACCAGGACTAAGTTGAGCCGTGGCCGCTGTGTAACCTGAGTCCTCCTGCGGGAGGCTGCCAAGGCAGCTGTGGCCCTGTCACTGGGTCATCTTGGTGTTCCTCTGCACTCCCAGTCCAGGCCCAGCCTGCCAAGCAACCACGTTTCTGATCAGTTGATGCCTCAAGCCCTGACCTTGTGAAGGTTTTAACCAACACTGCGGGATCTTAACACAAAAGTTTAAACCAGCATCATCACCAGTATCCCTTTCCTAAAAGCTAGCTCCAGTTGACATCGTACATTAAATACAAGAAGAGTGTTTTGGTTCAGAAGTTCTCTTCTCTGAATGTGTACCGCTTTGTTCAGAGTGCTTACCCATGTCTTTAAAAAAGTGGTGGTTTATTTAGAAATCTGAAATTACTTTGGAAATACTTCTTGGTTTTGTATTTGATTGTATTGATCCTTCTCTCCATTGAGAGAAGAAGCATCTGAAACTTTTACTGAAGCAGGGAAGTGTTTTCTCTCAGAACTGACTGGGAAAATGCAGGCTTACTCTGAGGAGTTCTCATTTAAATCACTTATATTAGTTTTGTTGATAGGGTGATACTACTTCTGCTGATGAAGGTGCATTTTCATTTCCATTAAACCTCTGGTTTTTTAAATGCAAGTGTTTCATTTAATGTAAGACTTCTTGTAGCATCTTCGGAAATGTAAGTTTTAACCAATGGGCAATCATCTCAAAGGTCCAGCAAGCAAATAGAATGAAGGTGTGAGCTCCTGTGGATGCTCAAAAATGAGCAAAACCTTGGATGTAGGCACTCAGGGTAATTTCAGTTTTAGAAATTTACATTCCATTGTCAGTGTCTGGAATTTTGGGAAATACTGTTGCAAAAACAAAACAAAACAAAACAAAAAAACCCACAACCAACCAAACAAAAAAACCCCAAATATTGTGTTGTGTTACTGTCTTCCTAGGATTTTAGATTCCTCTAAATTCTGTTTCTCTGCTTTCTTTATTACTCACTTGGTTACTGCCTGATGCCGGTAAGTTTCATGCTGTTTTTTAATGTGCACTGTATAATGGTAAGCTAAGATCAGTTATTTCTCCAGTATAACAAATGCTATGAAATGCACGGATTGGCAAAATACTGTTTGCATTAGGCACCGCTGTTGCATTAGTAACTGTTCTAGTTTGTTGGATTGCTGCTAAAAACTCCTTTCCAACTCAGATACAGATGTTTAAGGTTTTGGCATTACCATCTGGAATAGTGTATGGGAACTACTGAATTACAGCCTGAACCTCTGATTGATCACCTGAGGCAAGCAATGAGTCAGCTGCAGGAGCACAGGTGAAGGCAATTCAGCTATGTGATTGAAAGGGGTGGAGCCTGGCTCCACCTCTCCTAGACCCCATTTAAGGGCTGACTGCCACTGAGGAAGGATCTCTCTCTGGATGTTGCTCCTCTTGGAGTCTTTTTTGGCGAGCCCAGGACACGGGTAAGCTTTTCATTCATTTTTGATTATCCCTCTCTAATGCGATGATCTTTCCAGCCTAACTTCTCTCTATGTTTATTGATTACACATCTGTATACTTGTTGATTATACAGATAGTAAAATCAATTAGCCCACAGCCATGATTCCTTGATACCTGGCTTCTGTAATGTAGGTTCTTATTAATTTTGCAACTACTGGAGAGTGAGGTCTCTTTTTTTCACTTATTTCAAATACTGTTCTTCCATGGCTGGATTTAGGAGTGATGAGTAACTGTGTCTGAGGAGGATTAGTGTGTGAATGTGCCAGTGTTTTCTATGCTAAGCTTTGAATGACATTATAATGCCAGTTGTCTGCAACCTAGAGAAACAAATATAGGCTGTGCTGGGCAGGAGTCACAGCTTTGTGGACAGAACTTTCGCTGACCCCATCACACAGCAATGCCAAGCAGATAAAAACACCTGACATGGTCAGTGTACTTTTAGGTTTATAAGCTTCTTAAGTTACCAAAGCCTGAGTGTACCCAGCTGCCTTCTGATCTGTGCCATGACACCGTCATCACTTGGAAGATGGCTGAAAAGTCCTCAGAGCAGATTGTGATTGCTCAGGCTTATTTGGAGGCTTTCAAAATGGCAGTGCTCTGTAGAACAAATGCATCCTTCTGGTCTTTTGTGTGACGCGTAGGAAGAAGAAAAACTGCTCAACCTGCAGCTCCTGGTGACCTTAAATGGTGGTAGAATGCAGCATGGGTAGGGTTGGACAGGCCTTAACAACTGTGCCACAGAGCTGTGCATTTGGAGCATGGCATGTGTCTATAGTGCTATTCTCCCTGCAGCCCTCATTCTTGCAGCTCATCAGAGGCTTTTCATGTAGATAAGTTATTGCCTTAAGTGGGCCTCTAGATGTAGAATGGTGTAACAGCAGTCAAACAGACTGAGGAAAAATCTTAATCTGACTAAATTTAAGCTTAATTATATAGTATAATGAATATTTTCTGTTTTGAGTACCCTTTAGAATATTTTAACTTTCCATTGTTTATGGTAGATGTGGCTAAATATATTAGGCTTTGGAAAACTGAGTTATGTGAATGTGATCCTATGAGGGCAGTGTTCATATTGGTGGAAATATTGTTGGCTGTTGCTTCTTCACATTTATTCATTTCTTTATCTGTCCTTTGGGCTGCCATGTTTATCTGCTGTCCTTCAGACTGCCATGCGTTGCCCACTGTTCTCTTA